TGTGTGTGTGTGTGTGTGTGTGTGTGTGTGTGTGTGTGTGTGTGTGTATGTAAAACAACCTATGGACATACCACACAAACAGTTACATATCCTGATTTTTATCATTTACCATTTTATTTTGAGGATTTCCTCTGTAATTTTTCTCATTGAAAAATCATTTTAATTGGCTCATAATATTCCATTTTATGACTGTACTATAATTTAAGGTATTTCCCTTTTGTTAGACATTTAGGAACCACATTGCCACTTATGCCTTGACAAGCCACTATGAAAAGACTGGTTTTTAGTCTATAAAAAGGAAGTAACATCATCTTAAAAGAAGCTGGCATTTCCTCTTCTCAGACTCTGATTATCAGTCTTAGCTTTGGTTTCACATTAACTGCTTTTAAAGGCTTCTCTTTCTGTTATATTGAAGAGTAGGAGTGAGGAAAGAGGCCACCGCCTAGAGGAACTTGGACCCAAGGGGTAGCCATGGATAATTGTTCAAGTGACAATTTTGAAGAAGATAAGCCTTGCTCTTGTTTATAAATTGCAAGTCACGGGGCACCTGGGTGGGTCAGTTGGTTGAGTGTCCAACTCTTGATTTCCAAGTTATGATCCCAAGGTCATGGGATCAAGTCCCATGTCGGATTCTTGGGATTCTCTCTCCCTCTCTGTCTTCCTCTCTCTCCACCCCTACCCTGCTCATGCTCTCTCTCTCAAAGTAAATAACTTAAAAAACAGATTGTCTCTCTCTCTCTCTGCCCCTCTCCAGGGCTTGCACTCCCTCTCTCTCAAATAATAAATACATACATACATACATACATACATACATACATAAGTTGCTGTAGGAGTGTATATATATATTTATTGGCATCTGGGTGGCTCATTCGGTTAAGTGTTGGACTCTTGATTTTAGCCTAGGTCATGATCTCACGGTTTGTGAAATCAAGCCCTGCATCAGGCTCAGTGTGTTAATAGCACAGAGCCTGCTTGGGATTCTCTCTGTCTCTCTCTGCCCCTTCCCTGCTCATGTTGCATTCTTTCACTCTCTCTCTCAAAATAAATAAAAAAATTTTTTTAAATAAATATGTGTATTTAGATTCTTAGAACCTCTGTTAAGTGAGTGGTAAATTATGAATGTAAGAGAAAGTTATGGTGAAGCGTTTGATTGGACTTATTTGGGGTGTACATTGGGTTTTCTTGTCCCTTTTGTATTTTTTTTAGCAAACAATAATGATTTGGGGTGGGATTGGTCTGAGTAGACTTTATAGCACTTAAAGGAGGAGTAAATGAGATGATGCATAAAGAATTCAGCTCAAGGACTGACTCACTGAAAATACTTCCCAGATGTCAAATGCCATTAGTATCATCATCAGTATCTTCATTTGAATAGAAGTTCATAGCTTACAAGAACTTTCACATACATGTATGCTTTTAGTTGTCACAGCAACTTGGGAAAATAGGCAAGGATGAGGATCCTTCTGGTCTCCAGGTGCTTCCACACTGTAGCTCATGATGATGGCCTACTCATTTGCTGATGGCATTTTTCTGGACTGAATAATGAGAAACTGTGATTTTGGCAAAAGCAGACTGAGTGGACAAGGTTGGCAAAATACTGTCTATTCTATCAGAGACAGAGACTCCCGACTCCTTGCTAATGAACTGTTTGATTTTAGGCAAGTTACTTAAATCCCTCTCAGTGTTTAGCCAATGCCAATAAAAATGATAGTAATAATACCACTGTACCCTTTGACCTACGGTTAATGTTAAGCACAAAGGAAGATAAAGCAGTCAAAATTATGTCTTTTTAGGAGTGGAATTTAGAGAAGTATTTTGACAAGACTATTCTAAACAATAGTGCACTCACAAATTCAATATAATAATCTAAGTGTTCTTATAGAGTGTTTGATATGAGCATTTAACATCCCTTTCCTTCTTTTATTTTTTTAAAAGTAGGCTCACACCCAGCGCCCAATGCAGGGGCTTGAACTCACGACCCTGAGATCAAGACTGAGCTGAGATCAAGATTTGGATGCTTAACCAACTGAGCCAATCAGGTAACCCAACATCCCCTTCCTTCTGCTCGATCTGCTTGCAGTCCCAGTATATAGTAATCCTTTCAACTGTTAACACAGATCTTTTTAGCACCCATCTAGAGGCAAGAAGTTGGAGGGGAGCTACATCTGTGGGAAAAAATCCAAGGGGATAGCCACGATTCAGTGAGAGACTGTCTGAAAAGTTGCATTCTAGGTCAAGATAATGACTCCCCACATAAACTGAAGAGTCCAGGGGCTTCAGTGTTAATGGTTTGGCACTTAAGATTGCTACAGATTAAGGTTCATCAATTTGTGTTCAAAGAGCTGCCCCCAAAGTCAGCAAGGTTAATCAATTTTAACCACTAAGGAATCAAATAGCCAGCAAATGCATCCCACAAGGGTGTAAAGGAAGAAAGCTGCACACACTAATTGTCCTAATTATTTAAGAACCAGTCATGACAAAGAACCAATCATCCCTATATTCTGTTGAATATTAGCACTCAACCATTAATGGACTCGACTTATATTCTCTTCAATTTTAAACTATTTTATAAACACAACTGAAAAGCAACCTTTTTGCTTTCATTAAATGCTTGGATGAGAATTGAAATGTGAGTACATCAGAAGGACACACATTTTCCAAATTAGCAGGACAGGTAAGGAAAAAAACAGGAGGGCTGGTTAAATCATGGACTCAGAGTTCCCAGCCTGGTCGAGAGCTTTCCAGGAAATACAAAGAGAGGCAGAAATAGAAGTGATATTTGGGTGGTGTTAAACTACATTTTGCTTTACCCAAGAGGAGATGTGGATGTCAGTTGGCTAATACAGATCACCACGCTAGCACAGATTAAACATACAGCAGTAAGACTTGTATGATACAAGGGCACCTGGGTGGCTCAGGTCATGATCTCACAGTTCATGGGTTTGAGCCCCACGTTGGGCTCTATGCTGACAGCTCAGAGCCTGGAGCCTGCTTCGGATTCTGTGTCTCCCTCTCTCCCTGCCCCTCCCCTGCTTGCAGTCTGTCTGTCTGTCTCTCTCTCTCTCTTAAAAATAAACATTAAAAAAAAAAAAAGACTTGTATGATACAAGTAGCTGCTAAAAACAGAGCATGTGACAAAGTCTTGACTTGTCCTGGCATTGTCTCAGGAAATAGAGGAAGCAAGCAAGTAGGAATAGTTACAACACAAGATTTATGTTTGGTGAAGCAGAAGGAATGTGGAGGTGATATAGAAGGGTGGGGTCCTGGAGAATTAAGCAAATGTTTCCACCTTAATCCTTGTTGGCTTAAAAAAAAAATAAAGATACCATAAAGTTTATCAAATAGTTACATACCATGAATGATGTCTGTGATTTGCTTCAAAATTACCTAATGGCAGCGGGCGGAGTAGGTGGAGAATCGTAGGTGGCTGTATAGAAAAAAACAGGAATGTCTATGAGGTCATAATTGTTAAAACGAGGTGATGGATCCATGGGGGTTCCTTATACTACGCTATTTGTGTGTGTTCCACATTTCCCATAATAATAAGTAAAACAAAAGAAAACAAAATAAAATAATGTATGACTCATTCCAAGGCTAAAAAAAAAAAAAAACTTTAAAAGGAAGAATGACTTTAAAATATGACAAGCCTTCAAAAAAGAAACAGTGTATTGACAGAGGCACAAACAATCCCATTTAGGGAGAAAATGTGTGTTTCTGAAAGATCTAAAGGCAGATCTCAAGCAGTGTGACTCAACAAGGAGCCACTTGGAAATTTGGGGGGACATTTTTGCTTATTGTAAATCCCTGGCAGTGCTGGTTCTCAGCGATGGAAGGCCAGGATGCTCAAACTCTTTCAGTCCAAGGACCACAGACCTGCTCTCTCAATGCCAGCAGTGCCCCCATTGAACAGCAGTGATGCGTGGAGACCTAAGTGCCAAAGTGGCCACTGAGGCACTCTTCTATTAATCTGATGTTAGAGTCACATGGTCCATGAATAGGAAGGGTAAATGGTAAAGGCTGAATAATAAAGACCCACATGGAATTGCGAGAAGTGGGTCAGGAAAGCCAAAGGTTAAATGGTTAGAGGCTTGATGAGATTCAAGAGTCAACACCATATTCAGGTATAATAAGAATATAACAGGGGAGCCTGGGTGGCTCAGTTGGTGGATCATCTGACTTCGGCTCAGGTCATGATCTCACAGCTCACAAGTTCGAGCCCCCCATCGGGCTCATGGCTAACAGCGCAGAGCCTGCTTTGGCTCCTCTGTCCCCCTCTCTCTGCTCCTGCCCTGCTTGCACTCTCTCTCAAAAATAAATAAATGTTAAAAAAAAATTTTTTTAAAGAATCTAACATTTGCAGGTTTTAGAAAGAGGGGAGAATTTCCTCTAATCTAGAAAAGTTAGCACAAACATGGTTAAAGAGAGTTGGAGAGCAAAATGATAAGAGGATAAATAGTGAGAAAGCATTGCCAGGAACTTACGCTCATCCCCAACACGCCTGCAGGAGGTCACTTACCCTGCGACTCAACACTCGCCTCAGGCTCTGGAATCATCCTGTCCTCATTAAGGAAAAGTCTAATAAACCATAGGCCAGTGGCTCCATCCATCAGTGGTCGAGCAAGGCTGACTGCTGGAAGAAGCATGCCTGGTCTGGCCATGCACACTATTGATCAGGTCCTAACTTCAAGGAGTTCCTAGTCTGGCTTAGTGAAACAAGACACATTGAAAGAATAATTCTGAACATCAAAAGATACCCTAAGATTAAGTCCTAAATGAACTGCACAAACGGTTAATAGCATAAGTGAAAGAAAGTCGAAGAATGTGGCTCAGATCAGCAGGGGGTGCTTCGTGGAACCAAGGGATGGAACCCTGATGTTAAAAGAGGGCCAGGTTTTGGGGTGTCTGGGTGGCTCAAGTCAGTTAAGCAGCCGGCTCTTGATTTCGGCTCAGATCACGATCTCACGGTTCCTGAGTTCAAGCCCCGCATCAGGCTCTGTACTGCTGGCATGGAGCCTGCTTGTGATTCTCTGTCTCCCTCTCTCTCTGCCCCTCCTGCATTCTTACGTGCGCGCTCTCTCTCTCTCTCTCTCTCTCTCTCTCTCTCAAAAATAAATAATAATGAAGAAAAGAGGGGCAGATTTTGAGTAACTGTAGAAAGAAAAGAGAGGACGCATTTGTGGAAAGTACAGTATTTGGGGGGGAGGAAAGAAAAAGAACAAAGGCTTCATCCGTTGGCCATGTCTTGGTTTAGGACGTCAACTCAAACGCCTCTCCTGGCTGGCAGGTGGCCTTCCTATTGAGGTAGTCCAGCTCCTCACCTTCCGTGGCACACCTGTCACCAACTCACTGCTGCTGGGGCCCTCAGGCCTCTTTGCGCTCTGGCCTCCCATCTCTCACCTCTCTTGGCCAAACGCCCCAATGCCTTGGCCTCACACAGGGAAGTGTCACTGGCCACCCTTGGACAAACAGCCCAGATACATTCCCAAGAAAGGGAATGAGCACAGTGTCTCACTATGAACCAAATTCATGGCCTCTGGGTGCTTTCATGTAATCAAATCCAAGGGAGAAGTTTGTGTGCAAATGTTCTCTTTTTCTCTCTAGGGATAGATTCCTTTTTATTTACTCACTTTTTGATTTTCTGAAAATGGGTACCAAACCTGACAGAGAGATTCATTTAAATGTATCGTGAATGATGGGCTGGGATGCTTTCAAATAATATTTACTGAAATGCTGGTAACTGAATCAGTAGCAGTATGGTATCTGGAACCAGCTTGAAAAGCTTTGATCCATCAAACTCTTCACCAAGAGTTGATAAATCTATAATGAGCTATAAGACAAACTGTGGCCAAAATAAACCTGCTGTGTAATTCACGTATATTTGGGGTGCTACTACTCATGGTAGCCTAGAATAAATCATTGGGGGGGACTGAGTGGCTCAGTCAGTTAAGCGTTCGACTCTTGATTTTGGCTCAGGTCATGATCTCGTGGTTCAGAAGTTCGAGTCCCACATTGGGCTCTGTGCTAACAGTGCAGAACCTGTTTGGGATTCTGTCTCCCTCTGTCTTTGCACAAACTACCCACCCCTGTCCTGCCACCCTTGCCACTGCTCTCTATGTCTCTCTCAAAATACGTAAAAATAAACTTAAAATAAAACAAAGCAAATCATGTTCCTTCTCGATATGATTGCTTTTTAAGTTTATTTATGTTAAGAGAGAGTGGGCGAGCAAGGGAGGGGCAGAGAGAGAGGGAGACAGAGAATCCCAAGCAGGCTTGCGCTGATGGCGGATCCCCAACACAGGGATGGAACCCACTAACTACGAGATCATGACTTGAGCCAAAATCAAGAGCTGACCACTTAACCACTGACTGAGCCCCCCAGGGGTGCCCCTTCTCAATGTGATTTTCAAAAACTATTTATCATACATCTTTTGTAACTTAATTAAGTTTCTGACATCCACAGCCTTGTAATTAAGGAAAGATATTTTTTCTTCTAAAAATTAGAAACAGTACTTCCTAGTAAAATGCCCAAATAGACACAAATAGGATGGGGTTGGCTATATAATAAAACGTATCAAGGGGCACCTGGCTGGCTTAGTCCGAAGAGCATGTGACTCTTTTTTTTTTTTTTTTTTAATTTTTTTTTCAACGTTTTTATTTATTTATGGGACAGACAGAGACAGAGCATGAACGGGGGAGGGGCAGAGAGAGAGGGAGACACAGAATCGGAAACAGGCTCCAGGCTCCGAGCCATCAGCCCAGAGCCTGACGCGGGGCTCGAACTCACGGACCGTGAGATCGTGACCTGGCTGAAGTCGGACGCTTAACCGACTGCGCCACCCAGGCGCCCCAAGCATGTGACTCTTGATCGTAGGATCATGGGTTTGAGTCCCAAGTTGGGTGTAGAGATTACTTAATAAATAAAACTTTTAAAAAATGCTTTAAAATATAGTCCCCTTGGAGGCAGATGAGGTGAGGGCCAGCAGAACACTGTGTTTCTCTTTATTTGCTGGCTTTGCCAACACCGTGTTTGGGTTCTTGGTTGGTTCTTATCTGAAATCATGTTGACACAGGCATGAATGTTCTGAATTTTTGAAGTGTGTGTGTGTGTGTGTGTGTGTGAGAGAGAGAGAGAGAGAGAGACAGAGAGAGAGAGAGAGAGAGAGAGAGAGAGAGAGAGAGAGAATGTGGCTGTTGTTGCTTTTGGTATGCTTGCTGGAGCACATTTCTCTTAATGAAGAGCTTTTGAGAAGCTGTAAACATTTCACAACATACAGACGTTTGATAACAACTGCCTGTGCTCCGTGGGAAACACTGGAGCCTCTAAGCAGTTGATATTGTTCACGTACTACTGTTTGGCATAAAACACTCGGGCACGAGGGACTACTACAGAGTTTCTGTGAAGACAGTTTTCTAGACAGTTTCTAGGAAGACCATAGCTTGGACACATCACTTTAGTGTATTGGTAACTGAGTTTTTAGAAAGACTGCACTCAGCTCTCTATTCTGAACTTTCAATCTTATTCTGTTCCACATTTTAATAAATTCAAAATTGCTAATACTAATATAAATTGGTGAAGGGATTTCTTCTGAACACTAAACTGAAAAGAATACTTTTATCTTCCACAGAGCCTGAATAGGACGTGAGATAATGCCTCTAGCACAGTGCATTGTGCATGAAGTGTTTTCCAAGGAGTTGCTCAAATGTGTCTTGATGGATCGTTAGCAAAAAGCTGATCAAAGACAAATATTAAAATGAACTATGAAGTTCAAGCTTATTCAAACCCCAAGCATGTGGCATGTTACTCATTGAAAGCAAGGGTGCTTCTGCCTAAAAATCTTATTTTGGTCTTTTAAAATTCTTGGGCTATGTTTAGAGAATGTGTTACAGATTCATCTTTGTAAAGTGGACACACTTAGATTCTAAGAAACAAATTATAAGCACAATGTTAATTTTACATAGCGTGAGGTATGTGAAGCACTTTGAACGTTATGCACATATCATTAATTTATGGCATCGCCTCTGCTGGCCCTGTGTCCCGTGCTGGCTGCAGAAAGCAGGTCAACAGGCCAGGACAGATGTGCGGCCTCCCTGGGCCAGGCTGAGAAAACATTCCTGGCCCAGCTGTTTGTCCAGCGGCACTAATATAGCCAACAGGTCACTTCTGGATCTCAGCCTGCTGAGTCCTTCCCACTGCGGATGGGCCAGGCACAATACTGCAAATATCAGCTACCTGATACTCAACACTGTGTCTCACGTAGCTTTCATTTGTCTTAACCAAACAAAACAATACCCCCAAAAACCAAATGAACAAATAATTTTTTTAATGTTTGTTAATTTTTAAGAGAGAGAGAGAAAGTGAGAGAGAGAGAGACAGAGTGCAAATGGGGGAGGGTCACAGAGGGACACACAGAATCCAAAGCAGGCTCCAGGCTCTGAGCTGTCAGCACAGAGCCTGACTCAGGGCTTGAACTCATGAACCGTGAAGTCATGACCTGAGCCAAAGTTGGAGGCTTAACCGGCTGAGCCACCTAGGCACCCGAACAAATAAGTTTTTTTTAAGTTTCTTTATTTATTTTGAGAGAGAGAGAGAGAGGCAGAGAGAGAGAGAGAATCCCAAGCAGGCTCCAACCGTGAGATCATGACCTGAGCTGAAATCAAGAGTCAGATGTTTAACCGACTGAGCCACCCAGGCACCCCTAAACAAATAGTTTTATCAAAAAGGCTGCTTAAAACTGTTTTTTAAACAGCTTGTCCAAGAGCAAAAGAAGAACAGAAACACAGCCAAAAATGTATTAAATGTCCCTCTTCCGTTCCATTCTCACCCTTAGTGCTAATTTTTTTGGTGTTGTAGAATTCTCAGTCCTTAAAAAAGGACACTTGTAACACGTTTTCACTCACACCACTTCTTACACCAGGTGAGGGTTTTTTTTCCCTCCACATCCACGGATTCTCCAACTCTCTGGACACTGACTGGGTGTCATACAGTTCAATTCAGTTCTGACACTCACCACCCAGAATTGGTACAGAGCCCACCGCTTTAAGGGCTCAAACCCACAAGACTGTCACCCATTCAGATGCCAGCCACAAGTCCCAGTTTACCACTGATACTTCTGACCAGTTGGTTA